TCGCCGTAGCCCAGCGCTCCAGTGAGCGTGTGCGGGGGGGCTGGGCAGAGCAGACAACAGTGACTGACTTTCACCACTCTCTGCTCAGAGCGGCTGTGAGTAGTCTGTGATCAGCGGTCATGTAATCGCTGAGCTCTTACACTTAGAGCCAGCGGGGGGGGACAGATGAAGCATCGGACCGATGCAGCATCCACCTAGGTAAGTATGATTATTAAAAAATACGAGACCCCATACTTTTAATTCACAAATTCCTGTGAATGAATGACAAGCTGTGCGAGCAGAGCCTGCACAGCCATGCCATTTATTTTTAAGATGTGACAGTGGGTACAAGGAGAGGATCCCCCATCCACTGTCACTGGAAGATGTGAGGGGAGTGGGACACCAGTTGGAACATACTACACCCTTTTCACATGGGGTGGACTTCGATTTGATCAGCAGGGGATCTGTCCACTGATCCCCTGCTGATCAGAGCAGGGTGGGCGGATGACACATCTGTGTCTGCTCAGTTTATGCAGAGCAGACACAGACAGAGCCCACTCTGCTCTATGGACCGGTGAGTATAAACAGACTCTGCTGGTGTTTACACCCGACTGCCCTCTGATTCTAACCATGTTTTTTATTTTTCTTTAGTGGACCAGATCAGATTGGATGTAGGCCGGTGTAAACGGACACAAGTTTACACCCACTGGTCCATAGTGGTGATTGTAGGGTCCAATAAGGTCCAGCTGAAAAGCTGACAAGCGAACCAGATTTGGACCCTTTTGTGTGAAAAGAGCCAAATATGTCCCAAAGGCAAAGTTATCATTTTTAAACTGGAATATAACTAAGGATTAAAAGATAAAAAGGCTGCATATTCAGCAAGTTATTCAATCAGCTGCTGAAAGTGTCTAGCTGGAACATTGGGACTGGGCCCCAACAATTAATATCTCCTATTTGCTCCATTTTGGTCTGGTAAATATACCATTGAAAGCATTTTGTTATGTCTTTGAGTGCGAAAAAATACCCCTTTTTGTGTTAGAATTTCAGAGCTGCCCTGTGCACACTTCCTGTGTTTACCCATGAAGTCTACCCTGTTCTTATCTTAAAGCGGTAGTAAACTTGTTTGAAGAAAAAAATAAATACATTTCCCCTGCAAAGTAATATCATAATGTGATCATAATGTGCATGCACATAGTATGCATTGTATACTAGCACATTATGTGAAACCTACCTTTTAAAATGAAGCCGTCCAGCATCGCACTGACGGGGCTTTCATCTTCACCCATTCTTCTTTCTGGGTTCCCGGGCTAGAGCTGATTGAACGGCCGAGCTGCCGATGACGTCACCCCTGTGCATACGCACGGGAGTTTCGGCCACGGCACACAGCTCTGAAGGAACGGCACGGGTAATGCCATTCCTTCAGAGCACATGCACCAGTGATGTCACCTGCTGCAGCTCTGTAGAATATCACGGTGCATGTTTAGGAGATATCGCATTAATTTTACCTACAGGCAAGCTTTATTATAAGCTTACCTGTGGTAAAAATAAAAATTAGTTTGCTACCACTTTTAAGCTGGCCATACATTGCAAGAATTTTCATAAGAACTTTTGTTTCTGTTTCTTATAATCTAATGTGATTGCCCAATCATTGTATCATACAGTTTTTGCCAGTTACAACATTTTTCTGATCATTTGCAACATTAAACATCATTTTTTTTTTTTTGCCGCAATCAATTAGTACTACTTCTACCTCTATTACTCATGCACATTTCACTTGATTTTTTTTATCGAACGTTTGACCCACAACTGATTAGAAAATTGATTGAAAATAAATGAACACGGAAATATTTTTTTTCAATCTTAAAATGGATATTGACTGTTGCAGTAAGCACACTAACCATTCGAAAATTGATCGGTCCACAGTTTTTCATTCCATTTTCTATCCTTCTATGGCCAGCTTTACACTACTGAATAATTAGTCCCTATGCTGTGCAGATAATAGGTAGGATTCAGGAGATGTACTATGTCTCTTCTGTACTAAAGTATTCTTAACTGTCTGCTTGCAATGCACACTGAGTGTATGAATGAACTCCAGCGGATGTCACCTTGGCCCAGCCATTCAGAATCATTGAAGATCAGAACCTGAAGGAAGACTGGCAGAAGATGTCATCAGCTGGCAAAGGGAGCTCCTAGACAACGCATCGCTGGAGTAGAGGTTGGTATAGTTTTTTGCTTTAAAGTCGTAAAAAGGAGGAGGTAATGTGGTTTTTTTTGTTTGCTTGTTTTTTGTTTTTATTTGTTTTGTTTTTTTTGTTTTTTCTTTTTAAACTTTGTGTGTGTTTTTAAGTGGTAATCATATGAAATATATTCTTAAGCAAAAAAGTTTTACTGAGTGTGCCCAAGATGGCTGCCTCACTATGTGTCCCACCAACAAATCAAAGGATAGGTTTACCTTTGTAATAAATAGGTAATAAATGCACAACTTTGTAGGCAAAAAAAAATTAGCATTTATTTTTTTTACTAGGAGCCTGTAAAGCATTCCACCTGCCAACAGCAGATCATGGGTGCAATGCAGGGCTCCTGCAGACTGTCTGTAGAGCTGTCTGCTTGCACCTCTTACATACAGGCTGTTACACACTGACAGGAAGAATCCATGAACTACCTAGAGTGCTCTCAACAGTGCCCTTGGTAGTTCATTGAAGAATTACATGCTGACAGCCACAAAAAGCTGTCAGTACCTGTAGTTCTCCCATTCACAGAACTCTGTGAATCAGAGATGCAGCTGTGACAGCGAGTAGCAGGAGCAGCTACACCAGTGGGAACATGTTACATGTTCCACCCTAAAAACGTGAAACGGGTAACATGTTCCTAAAGGTGATCTTATCCTTTAAGCCATTTGGGTTCTCTAGGAAAGGAAAGAAATAAAAATGTAAAAATAAGTGGTGCCAAAACTGCATTGTATTTTGGGGTACTCCTGTTAACATTTCTCCACTACATAGTTTATAATACATTCATGGCTGTTCACTTTTGCACGCAAACTTGTTTGTAATAATTGTTGACTGTGATATATGGTTCATGGTATGCAAATCCTGTTACTTGTTCACATACATATAACTGTATTTGATCGGGTTTTTTTAGTATTTTTCTGAATATTCTATACACGACATCCTATCTATAGTGAGTTGGGGTGTTGCCATGAAAGAAGATACAGAAGGGTTTGGATGGGTCTGGTCACTTCCTCCTTAGCTGCATTGTCAGCAGGAAATACATAGCTGAATCTGCAATGTGTAAAGTGAGCAGCAAGCATCTACTTGTCTGTATATTCTATCCCAGCATATATGGCTGTGAGGTAAAGAATACAACATGGAATGAATATATTTCATGATAATTTCATATACTCTCCTTGTGTTGAAAGCTTTTCCAAAATGGTGGTTGTATACACCAGCTAGAGCAAGCTGGCTTTTTTAATGCCATGCATTACATTTTAAAAATGTTTTCACGTGTATTTGTTGTATTCATAATGTCTTATATGCATGTTAGTATGTTTTTACATATGTGTAAACATCAAGACGTATAAAGTGAAGCAAATTGTCCTTAGAAACATGAAAACTGAAACATATTTTTTTTTTAACGCAAAGAAAAAATAAATAAATGTACCCATTGCAGTGGGGCTGCACCTGCTCTGCAAGGGTTAGTTACTCATTTTGTCTAGGGGAGATGAGAAACATGGTTACTTACCTGATTCTCCACTCCCTTGGTAGATGGCACTTTCCCGTGTTCTGTTGGTGGACTGCCCTTTGGCAGATCAACATGTCCCATGCAGGACTATTGCCCCAGCATCAATCTTGATGATGTCAGGATCTTAGGCTTCTAGAGCACGAGGGAGAACATGCTGAGGGGAATGGTCTAGCACCAGGGAGGAGTGGAAGATCAGGTAATTACATGTTTTTTTTAACAAGCAATTTACCCATACAGTTCAGGTGCCGCCTGGGTCTGGACTATCTCTTGCTTATAACCCTGTACATTTTTCTTTTCCTTCCCTTCCTTTTACTTGGTATCAGAATTTATTTTTTTGTTGTTCAGATATTGTGAAGACCATGCATTTAGTCATTGGGAATTTCTAAAACACAATTTCAGTTTTTTTGTGAATTTTATAGTAGATGGGCATTTGTCTCATGGCCTGGACGTTTATTTGCTGAAAACTCTTAAAGCATATCCCAACACTTTTCCACACCCAAGGAATCATAGGTGCCGCGCACAGCTGCCAATACAGGGGAATGGCTGTACATGTGCTAACTCCGTTTTTGCTTTTGGAGAAATACATTGTACGCAAATGTGCAGGTAAACACCGATTTAGAAGTGATCAGCATTTACATGAGTACAGCTGCATCCAGCCATTTACTTGAATTGGTTGCTATACACGGCACCTTTGACTCTCTGGGCATGGGAAAGCACTGGGGATTTTACCTTTTTGAGGTATTAACAAGGTGCAAAACCTAGAAAGCTGTAAGTGTATTTTTTACGTTTCGTTAAGGTTACATTAAAAAAAAAAAAAAAAAAAAAATGCCAAAGAAGCTCACATACCACATTTTGGCATCACACAATACCATGTATTGTCTCTAGACTGCTACCTGTGTTTGGGGTGCCATTAAGAAATAATAGCACAACAAGCGTGTTGTGCATTTTTGCAAATACAGGGGAAAACGTGTGTTTTCTGCCCGCATTTCGGTTACTCCCAGATATGAACAGGGCCTAATAAATTGGCAGTTGGCTTATAGCTTTCATTTTCAAAGCTTAACTGAACAAGCCAAAGCTAGAAGCTGATTGGTTACCACAGCTTCTCCAGAATTTGTCTGCTCCAGTTTTATTAAATCCTGCCTGAATTGACACTACAAAAATAAATAAAACCATAAACCTCAGAGCAGACTAAGTGTTGGGGAGTGCAGTCAGAGGTTGTAGACCATGTTTCACTAAATTTCAATTCAACACAATAGATTCCATTTTGGTTGTAGTTATTAATGTTCATGTTGTTCATTGCAGGTATTGACTTTAAAATCAGAACTATAGAATTAGATGGCAAGCGAATTAAGCTACAGATATGGTAAGTGTATTGTGCCTGTCTTCACTTCAAAATAATAATATAGTAGTAATTAAATGATTTACCCTTTTACGTGTGTGTGTGTGTGTAGAGGATATTGTAGGAGAAATTGTTGATCTCCGTTTCTAAATGCTACAGGATTTCAAAGCTGCAGTGTTAGAAGCTGCATCATTTTTCAGAAACTTGTTCTTTGAACTGTGTTTCTGCTGCAAGGGAGTGTTAATTTACACAAGGAGGTTACAGTGAAAATGATCATAGTTATGATGCCAGGTCATTTTTGGCAATGACTTAACGTATGAGCATACCCTTTTATAATGGCATATCTTAAAGTGTCACATATTAAATAGTGAAGCGCTAGAAAATAACAACAAAACTCCCTATACATGCATCATGAGTACCATCTGAACCTATAATCATAAATACCATATAGTGATATAAAAATATATATAATAAATGTCTATTGGTGAGAAACTAAAATAATTGATAAATATCTCATAATTAAACTAACCATAAATGCCTCATATATAAATATGTGATACAAAATAACAATTGATATATGCTTAGTTAATCCCTCAAATAAGTGATAAGAAATCAATATTCATAATTATGCAAATTCATAATAAGTAATAAAAGTGTAAATATCCGTGATAAATTGTGACAAACCTTTGAATAAAAATAAATAAACTGTGATTCTTCATCAAATAAATACGTGATTAATAAATTCTGTGATAAACTATATATCAGAAAAAATATTAATAATAAAAAATCCACTTAATTATGTGAAAAATAGATCAAAACACTGTGTCTAAATAAACATAAAAGTGACCGCCATTCCCAGTTCTATTCATAGGTTTGTCACAATTTATCACGGATATTTACACTTTTATTACTTATTATGAATTTGCATAATTATGAATATTGATTTCTTATCACTTATTTATTTGAGGATTAACTAAGCATATATCAATTGTTATTTTGTATCACATATTTATATATGAGGCATTTATGGTTAGTTTAATTATGAGATATTTATCAATTATTTTAGTTTCTCACCAATAGACATTTATGATATATATTTTTATATCACTATATGGTATTTATGATTATAGGTTCAGATGGTACTCATGATGCATGTATAGGGAGTTTTGTTGTTATTTTCTAGCGCTTCACTATTTAATATGTGGGATTTATGACTTATTGGTTGAGGTAGAGTGATAGCAGCTGTTAAGATAGGGACGCATCCATATTAAGCGCAGGAGGATATTCCCAATTATATCTTAAAGTGTAGTTCACCTTTTCACAAAAAAATAAAAGTTAAACTAATACCCTTTGTGTGCTGCATATACCTCCATGGATGATTAGCTTTCACTGCTTTTACAGCCAGTGCAGGAGTCAAAGAATTTGAAAGCAGTAGTCTTCTGGGGCTGATCAGAGCAGTTCTGATTGGTCAAAGCGGTCATGTGACCAATCAGACACACTCTGATCTGTCCTGGCATCCTTAGAAAAGAAGGGAAAGAAGAGCACTGCTTTCACTGCTGAAAGCTGTACTGGCTGCATGAGCAATGAAAGCTAATCATCTGCCGAGGTAAATGCAGTGGGGAGTGAGGGCACGGTGTTTTCATTTTGTAAAAAGGTGAACTTGTAAGCGTGTAGTAAGAGAAATACAGGTCCGCTATTACTGATTTGGGATATTTTAAAGATCACAACAAGGGTTACGGCAGGTGTCAAACAAAGTCCTGTTTATTTGATTGGCATAAACAGATCTTTCAAGACAGAGGCCTAACTCACTACTGTTCAGTAGAAGTTCTACCCAAACAAAGCTCACCAGCCAAGGGAGCATTGAAGTCAACAGCATCTTTTAGTCTGCATGGCCACAAGGTTTTCAGTCGCGCGCTGTCAATCCAGCACAGACAAGCTTTGTCCTGCACCCACATGGTGCCTTTCTTAAAGGTTCACCTTTTTGAAAAAAAATATTAAATGCACATATTTTTTCTAGGAAAAATGTGTGTTTATCATTTATTTATTTTTTCCATAAGAGGCTGCAGAGCATTGCACCCGTGATTGTAGATCGTGGGTGCATTGTGTGGCTACTGCAGATACATCCTCAAGCTTTGTCTCTGTACAGGCTTTTGCTCTGTACATGCTTTTGGTTACTAAGCTGAAGGAAGTGTGGATGAACTACAAGGGCACTCATCGGCATCCTTGCAATTCGTAGAGCACTACAAGCTGTCTGCTGCAGTGGCAGACGGGACTTGTGGTCTTTTCTTCACAGATTCCTGTGAATCAGTGATGCGGCTGTGTGGATCATTGCACCTGTGATTGCAATGTTCAACTTCAGTGCTTTCTGAGTCCCTGACCTGAAAAAGGGTTTCTTGAACAGGAGCATTGATTTCACTGACTTCATTTACCACATGTCTACTTCCAGACTATGACTCAAGCTTTCAAACCCAGACACCAGCTATTTTCAGCGGTATTTGCAATCTCAGCAACTATATGTTTTCTTTATAGCAGGTTTTCTTTCAGATGTCAGCCAATCGAAAAAAATATTCCAACATGTTGGGACTGAAGGGGTGACCCCATAGTATCTGTGTAGACTTTTTGCACACAAATACACACCACAGCTGTAGTCCTCGTACTTCTGAAGATAAAGTGGATATTTCACAGCTGCTATTAACTTGAAAACTTTTGCAAGCTGTTACAAGTGGTATCTCTCCTAGAATCAAGTATTCAGGGCCATCCTCACGGACTTTGGACTTCTTGGTGGCTATTTTGAAAGATTTTTTTTTTTTTTTTTTCTTGGGTTTATCCAAGTAAGAAATGTTTGCCCCCACAGTCTTTGCGCCTAACATGGAGTTGGATACAAAGTCAGCCTCCTCAGGAAGCAATGACCAAGAGTCCTCAACTTTGCTCCACGCATTACTTAAGTCGGCTAGGGACATAATTTTGAAATTGTGGATTCCCCCTCTGTTATGTCCTGCCAGTGTTTTTTGGTATCTGAAATTTTTCTCTACTGCTCTTTTTTTTATGATAAATAAAGCGACCAACATTTTTTAGTGCATCTTTCCCTTAAGGAGGATTATACTAAAGTTTTCATCTCATCTGTGGTAGACCCTCCTGTTTCATTAAGTGTTCTTGCATGGCAAGACCACTTACTGTTATCTCACATATATATTCTTATTATTATAGCCAAATTTACCACCCTAACTCCTCCCACAGTTTTTACACTACTTAGTAATATACATGCAGATTTTTCCCGATTGGTGTGCTATTACTTTGTGGAACGTTTCGCCGAATGGTTCACGAAATATCGGCATTTTTGTGGTGAAAGTGGTCCCATAGGAATGAATGGCGGAATGTTCAAAACTAGAGTGGGAGCTGACAAAAGCTAGAGTGGGAGCTGAAAAATCAGGACATGATTTCTAAACTGCCATCACTCCCTCATTTTCAAGCCCACCTACACAAATCGTATATCAAAACGTTCAGCTATCCCTGCTGCCACTAAAAATGTCCACGGCTAAGCCATTGTCCTGATAGTTTTCACAATATGACCATTTGTTTGCAACTCACGCCGCCCATTGACATTCATTGAAAACTCCACTCTAGCCACCTCAAATTTGAAGGGCAATTTCTAAACTGCGACTATGCCTTCATTTTTAATATTTCTGAGACGTACTCTGCATCAAAATGTAGGTCTGGGTCTTGTGATTCTCACAATATCTTCGTTGTAGGATTTACAATTTTTAAAATATAACCATTTGAAGATGACAACTGCCAGTGAAGTGAGCAAGTTGGAGCAGTTTGTTTTTAACCGCTCTTCTCTGCCCTTGCTGTAGAGTGAGTTGCCATAGGAACCCAGGTGTGTGAGCAGGCAACAGAGTGACAAGCTACTCCACCCAGTTACTCTGCCCACTCCAGTTGTAGACTACTGGTGGACGCAAGAACACTTCACACAATTTCCCCAGAAATTGTAGCTTTCCTAGTTTATAATATGTTATTGCATTTTTTTTTTCTCCCTACCTTGTCTTCATTTTCTATAAATAATGTTCCCATTTAGAATTACATTTTATTCTCAATAATTGGTGGCAACTTGTTGTTGGCAAGTATGGTAGCTAATTTATCAGTCTTTTTAAAATGTACTTTCATACATTATACCCTTTGATCAACACATACTGTATATTTACATCTAGAGAGGTAACTGATTCTTTACAATTTTTTTATATGAAAATTGTTTTTCTCATTATCACAGGTCAGATAGTGTTAGGGGGCAAAATGTTTGTTACAACAAAGAGATCAAAGGTATGTTGAAACTCTTCCTACATGATTTAGGAATGTTCTAGGACTACTTTTGGGAGGTTGTAAGGTGAAGCTGGCCGCAGTCCTTGAAGTAACTTTGAGGGCAGGGTCAGGTATAGACGTTGAAGAGCCCATATGCAAAGGATATAGGGATTGGTAGTAATCTGAAACTAAATATGATAGATCATTTTATAGGGTCATAGGTTGTGTGGCCTTCGCTGGTATTAACAGTGTGTTGGGTTCTGGCACTCTGTACAGGACACCCCCTAGGCATGTCGTTTCCTGGTTCTTTGATTCGCTTTCTGATTTTCCCAGAATTCTGTAGTAATATGCAAGTCAGAGTTTGAACATCCCCTACAGCAAAAATTTTATTTTTGGTGAGATACTCCCAAAGGGAAGTTATGTCGAAAGGGTTGCAGGCCTTGCAGCTTTTCTCATTAGAGCCCCGAAAGGTGCAGCAGCTGGCTGATAATTGTAAAATCACTCCCATTTTCCTTTGCTTTGCACATGGGTGCAGACAAACAAACCGCTATTACTTCAGAACAACAAAAGCTAGGAATCTGCAACAAAGTTTAAGATCCCTACAATGTACATACTGTATATCACCCAGGTGGGAATGATACTTTTTTTTTTTTTTTTTTTCAAGAAAAGTGGAGTTACTCTCCTAACTGTGACACTGACCTAGCAAGTTTTGACAAATATTAGAAAGG